TGAGAAAATCCAAACCTATCCTTTATCAACATTAAGATAAACACAGCAGGAAATCTAAAAGTTATCTAATGTCTGGCTCCACAGCTGAGGTGGACTTTTCTGTCTTGATGTATTTCTTGAGTGCAGCTTTGGCATTCACCACCATCCTGGTTGTGTTGCTGGCTTTCTCGTTGTGTAAGATGAACAAAAGAACCTGCCAGTGTACAAGTAAGTGTTGCTCTTTGAAGCTGACATCAAGTATTGAGTGCATATTGCATTTAAATAAAATGACTTCCATTTTGTGTTTCACAACCAGAGTCTACAGTAACATCAGAATCTTCCACAGTGAATACTGTGGTAAGTATTTCTATTGAAAAATGAGAGGACTTTTAATAGCACAGCAAAATCTTTATTTTTTTTGGTCTCTATTGTGCTTGATCTTCTATAATGGTCATTAACCATTTTATATTTTGTTGCCAGTTATGTCAAGATGCAGAGAACCTTCATTATGCTGCTTTAATGGATCACAAGGCCAACAGATCAAGAAGACAGAGAAGCAACACCAAGAGTGAATGTGTGTACTCCAGTGTGAGGCAGTAGAGCTGCAGACATGTAAATAAATATGGTAAATATAAAGGCTTGCCTTGTAATAAAATAAGCTCTTCCACTGAAAAAAACACTTATGTCAGAGGTTTTTCTTTCAGTGGTGTCAGTTGCAAAACATACTCTGATATCTACTGTCATTGCACCATTTGTTGCCAAATTTTACTCACACTTCTGTGGTGCTGGTGGGGTTAGCTAATCTGAGTGTTTCCACAATTCTAACCAACCCTGCAACTTTGACACATGTCACATGTACAGTTTGTTCATACGTAAGGCCAAAGCAAAGTCTTCACAGAACAGTAGGTTGTTTTTTGTACATGCTACCACAAACCCAAAGAGCAGGAAACGTTTCATAACCCCTTTGCAGGTAACAGTAAAGAGAGGAGATCTCAGGCCCTGTGATGTCTCTGTGGTTTCAGGCAGGATGTCTCTTCATCAGTTCTCTCTGAATCTGGGTTATAGATCCTACCCACATCTATGCAGATCTTAAACACACAGTAACATAAGTTTTTAGATCAATTAGTAAGGTCAATAAGAAAATAGTGGCTAAATATGTAATATGGATGTACACAAGTATTAATTTAGAAAGGTAAACAAAAGCAAAACACAAAATGAATGCTAACTGAAATGCACTAAACTAAAGACAAAGAGATGCGTGTGTGTGATAAGGACAGTGTGTATGTCATTGTTATGCCTCTGTATGTCTCTGGTGTACGAGTATGGACGCACGTGGTCAGGACAAAGAGAGTTCTTCTCTGCATTGCGTAGTTGCATTTGGGCCAAATCAGATGTGTTTTGTTAATGACATGACATCACACATCACAGGTTACTGAATAATTGTAGCTGAAAGCTTGGTCCACGGGCTGACTCCACAATTAAGTGTAACTTTCAGTAGGATTCATGGGAAACTGAGTTCCATGACTCACATGATTAGTGTGATTAGTGACTAGTCACAATTTGCTCATGCTTTATTCACATAAGTGCAACCCAAAACACAATTATAAGCTTCAATTATATTTTCTTCTGATATATTCTGATATATTTTCTCATTGTGTATTTGGCTCTGAGCGCTACGAAAACACAGGTGACCAACACTCAATATTGTGCCCGAACACATCTTGTGCAGACGCTGAACGGGGACTGAAGCTTCTGCTGCTATTCTACTGACATGTTGCTTTATCTATCTTTATCTTTATCATAATTTATTTGCAAGATACCTGTTCAGTGTTTTGTCCTACTGTATGTTGAAGTCTGTCTTTATGCATCTGGTAATTAAGTCTACCTCCCCCTATCTTCATTAAATTGTCTATATGCTACATTTGCTCTACATGCTAAGTCTGATGGCTGCAGGCCAGATCTATAACTTTTAAACCCTTAGGTCCAGGAAAAAAGAATATGGAATGATTAAATTCTGATTGCGGCAGTTTTGATGCTCAAAATAAAATATCCACTGTTTTACAGCCACTTGTTTGGCCACTTGTAAAACTTCAAAAGCATTTGTCACTTCCTGGTAGCCTGGAGGAAATGCAATGCGAACAAGCTGACCAATCACAGTTCTAGCAGGCTGGGTCGCTGCAATGTTTTCCTTAGAACAGATATATATTAACACGATTTACCCAAAAAAGTCCATACAAGGGGTACATATACAAAATAAAGAAAAAAAGGAAAGACAGAAAAAATAACATGAGAAATTAAAGAGGTCAAATTATTCTTTTTGGCCTCTTGCAAAGAAAACTCCTGCACACTGTCTACATGTACATATATAATAAACAAATCACTCTGAGACGATACAGTATTGCTAGAATTACAGTATCTCACAAAAGAGAGTACACCCCTCACGTTTTTGTAAATATTTGAATATATCTTTTCACGTGACAACACTGAATAAATGACACTTTGCTACAATGTAAAGTAGTGAGTGTACAGCTTGTATAACAGTGTAAATTTTCTGTCCCTTCAAAATAACACATCACACAGCCATTACTGTCTAAACCGCTGGCAACAAAAGAGAGTACACCCCAAAAGGAAAATGTCCAAATTGGGGCTAATAAGCCATTTTCCCTCCCCGGTGTGATGTGACTCATTAGTGTTACAAGGTCTCAGGTGTGAATGGTGAGCAGCTGTGTTAAATTTGGTGTTATCGCTCTCACACTCGATCATACTGGTACGTTCAACATGGCACCTCATGGCAAAGAATTCTCTGGGGATCTAAAAAAAGAATTGTTGCTCTACATAAAGATGGCCTAGGCTATAAGAAGGTAAGAAGACCCTGAAACTGAGCTCCAGCATGGAGCGGTTCAACAGGACAGGTTCCACTCAGAACAGGCCTCACCATGGGCGACCGAAGAAATTGAGTGCACATGCTCAGCATCATACCCAGAGGTTGTCTTTTCAAAACAGACGTGTGAGTGCTGCCAGCATTGCTGCAGAAGTTGAAGGGGTGGGAGGTCAGCCTGTAAGTGCTCAGACAATTCGCTGCACACTGCATCAAATTGGTCTGCATGGCTGTCATCCCAGAAAGAAGCCTCTTCTAATGAAGATGCACAAGAAAGCCCACAAATATTTTGCTGAAGACAAGCAGACTCAGGACATGGATTACTGGAACCATGTCCTGTGGTGACATATAAAGCATGTGGAGCGGCAACCAGGTCAGGGGTATAAAGACAAGTGTGTCTTGCCTACTGTTAAGAATTGTGGTGGGAATGGTCTGGTGCTGCTGGCATTGGGGAGCTACAGTTCTTTGAGGGGACCATGAATGCCAACATGTACTGTGACATACTAAAGCAGAGCTTGATCCCCTCCCTTCAAAGACTGGGCTGCAGGGCAGTATTCCAACATGATAACGACCCCAAACACACCTCCAAGACGACCACTGCCTTGGTAAAGAAGCCGAGGGTAAAGGTGATGGACTGGGCAAACATGTCTCCAGACCTAAACCCTATTGAGCATCTGTGGGGCATCCTCAAACGGAAGGTGGAGGAGCACAAGGTCTCTAACATCCACCAGCTGTGATGGAGGAGTGGAAGAGGAGTCCAGTGCCAACCTGTGAAGCTCTGGTGAACTCCATGCCCAAGAGGGTTAAGGAAGTGCTGGAAAATAATGGTGGCCATACAAAATATTGACACTTTGGGTCCAATTTGGACATTTTCACTTAGGGGTGTACTCATTTTGTTGCCAGCGGTTTAGACATTAATGTCTGTGTGAAGAGTTATTTTGAGGGGAACGCAAATTTACACTATTATACAAGCTGTACACTCACTACTTTACATTGTAGTCTTTTCTTCAGTGTTGTCACATGACAAGATATAATCAGATGTTTACAACAATGTGAGAGGTGTACTCTCTTTTGTGAGATACTGTACATGTAAGCTTAAGCTCTATCTATAGTAAGGGAAATGTGAATGATTGTATGTCCGTGTTTTGGGATCATGTACAACTAAACCGAATCCATGGTTAGTGGTTGAAGCAGTTTTGTTTTGCATCACACTACCTTACTTGTCAAGACCTGCCCTACTCTTCTTCTGATTGGCTAGTAGTTCTTACCGAGGTACTGCGCATGTGTAATTCCCAACAAAGGTCGAATTGAAGTGGGATGCCTACAGCAATGTCCGGTGTGACAAAAATATGGTGTTTTTTGAAAATTAAACCTTGCCCAGTATGTGGATCTCGGTCTTCCATGGGTCGTATGTGTGTCAATATTTCAAGATTCAGGTATTAGACATAAAATTTCATAATCATCATAATTACAGCGATAGAAAATATTTTAGACAATCGGAAGCCTATGTAAACATGTATCCTATTAAATGACAGTGACATTTCAAACGAGATAATAAAGATAAAATGTATTTTCTGCCATAAAAGGGTCTAGAGGAGTTTCTTTTGCATCATGTGTTAAATGCAAAGAAGAGGGCGGCCGAGGCTGACACTTTGTTAATAATTTAACTATCTATTATAATTAAATTGCCAATGAGAACTATTTGGTTATCTTGATGTGAACCACCAGGACCACAGCAGCACAACAGGAACCCTCAGTAAGAAGAGTAAAAAAAAAAAAAACAGTTTTATAATACACGTGCACCAAAGGAAACACCAACACCACATCATAGAGATTAGTGCCATTTTAAGTATGGTTACTTAAGCCATCTGCTTTCATTTTATGAAGCCGTTTCTGTGTTCCTCTATTTGGAATTTGCTTTCTCTGACTTCAGATTTAATGACCTGAGAATTAATAATTTTATATTTATGTTTTTTTTTCCTTATACTTTTTATATTTACCACCCCTAGTGTTTGCTTGGTACAGCATTAAGATTAATGTATAGTAGATAGAAACAACTTGAAGCCTCATGGGATCATATGAGATATTCTTTGATTTAAGAAGCAGCCAATCAGGTGAGGCTGGATGAACAAGATGAACCAATCAGATACCTGACACGCTGTCGCAACAGTTGGTCCTGCATGGTGAATCTGTTAAGACTGCTGTCACTTGAGCAAGTCAGACCTGCTGTGTAGAGGATGGGGATAGAAGCAGAGAAGGTGATGGTGTGTCTTCTGATTATTTCCCTGCTCTGGTCTGTGTGTAAGTAAAAAAATCCACTTGTGAGATCTATTTATGTCGTTTTACATACATCGAGGTGATTGTATTATTTAGGCTCCTTGTTATTTTTCTGTTTCTTTCAGGTGAAGTACGGTCAAGTGACATCTATCAGGCTGCTCTTTTCCAAGCAGTGGAGCTAGGACGCTCAGTTACTATTACATGTCACATCAATACTGCTGGAAGAATTAGGGTATGGTACAAACTAAACACAGGGGGGAGACTACAGCTGGTGGCTTCAACAGATACTTTATATAATCTGACAACATTTAATGAGCAATCAAATCATCATTCAGTGACATCCCACAGCATTAGCAGCCACCTGACCATATCTACAACAATGTGGAGAGACACTGGCACATACTACTGTGGAGTGATGAACTTAAACTACATTCAGTTTGGACAAGGAACATATTTGATGATAAAAGGTATTTGTTCTCTGTAGTTAATTATTCAAGCATTCATACTGAGCTTACTGATCACAGCTGACTGTGAACAGAATACTAATGATCAGACTTCTTTGATTTGTTTCCCAAGGTGCAAAGATGATCAGCGACTCTGTCGTCCAGCAGCCTCAGTCTCAGTCAGTCCAGCCAGGAGACTCTGTGACTCTCAGCTGTTCTGTTCTCACTGGCCACTGTGCAGCAGAACACGTTAGTGTCATGTGGCTGAAAACCTCAGATCATTCTGCTCCAGAAATGATTTACTCCTCTGGAAATAAGAACGACATCTGCCAGAGGACTGAGAGCGGAGAAACTACCTGTGTGTCCAACCTTCTCATGAGGAACCTCAGCTCTGATGATGCTGGAGCCTACTGCTGTGTTGTGACTTTGTGTGGACAGATACTGTTTGGAAATGGGACCAGGATTAATATTCACAGTAAGACAGTATGAGTGGAAGATTTTGGTCCAAGAAAATCTACTGTATCAATAAGTTTTATTCTCATGTAAGTAAGTAAAAGTTTGTTGTTAAAATCTAAATTAAATACTGTTTGTTCATTGTCACATGTTCAATGGAGACGTTGCCTTCACCAAATCAGTTGATCTGAGTCCAACTGTTATTGCGCTGATACTGTCAAACACTGTTGTTGGGATGGTGACACTTCTGCTTGTATGGACACTTTGTAAGAACCACAGGAAAGATCCCACAAGTATGTAAACTATGTATTATATTGAATATCTTTATATCTGAATTTAAATACAATATTTAAGTAAAATATTAAATTATATTCTGCCGTTACTAGTACTGACAGCAGTTTTCTTTGTTTACAGCAGCGAGTGATAGATCTACTGAAGACAGCCAGGTAATTAATTTGTTTCTTTTAGCTTTAATTTGTTTTGTATTGCAATTTCAGTTTTATACCTTTTAACGTTCCCATGTAGTTTAATATTTAGTGTTTGTCAGTCACAAGCACCCAGTACCACATGTTAACTATATGCAGGATCTCTCTTAGTCCAAACGTTCGGAACAAATACAAAATATTTGCATTTTCATGTCTTTCAGAACGCAGTTGTCTATGCAGCAGTGTGTTCAGAACCCAGACGCTCCTCCTGCAGACCAGCTTCACCAAAATACAGTCAAGACACAGTAGTTTATTCAGATGTCAGGTCAACAAAACTGACAGACACATAAATAAAGATACCTGGATATATACAGCAAGCACCTGCACGGACAACCTATGAGTGACCAGCAATCACTTTGCTTTTATTGGTATTCGCTTCCAATTTTACAACTGGAAAAATATAATGGCTTTTGGCACCGTGGTCTGATGTTATGTTTTCAAGAAGTGTTGAATAAAAATGAGGTTGGAAAGAGATTATTTAGTATTTTTGAGCTTTAAAATGCTTTTTTAAATAAATAATTCAAATGCATGAATAAAGCCAATAACTGGAATCCTTAAATTGCTGCATTCACCTTTATTGTTTAAGCTGTTTGATGTATCAAAGACAAGCCATCAAAGCAGTGCAAAGAGTGCAATGTAAGACAGCTAAATAACAAAAGAGACAAATGGTGGTCACAATAAATGGATTACTCTTATGTGTAATTTGGGTAACATTCGATACATAGTCAGTTTGATTGTGTGCCCTTTTAAGCCTTTGTGCTCTCTTTGTGTTTGTAGGCGGTTTCAAGCAGGATGTCCTCATTTCAAGACTTTCAGTGGATCACAGGAACCTGTTTTTGTGATCAAACTACATGTTAAGAAGCAGAAGTTCACTGATGTTCCATAACACAGTGTGTTTCTTTGTTTTTAACCGCATACAGCTTGTGAGCAAACATTGCAGATGTTATGTAGCGCTGTGGTTGGTAAAACCGGAACAAAGTTTATGGCTTGATTAGACAAAAGATTCAATGTGAGCAAGATCTGAAGTTCTTCTGACTGCTTTGCTTTGACATTTGTTGTTGTTCTAAAATTATTTGTATGCTTCTCCTAATTATACATCGTCTACTAAATAATGACACTGTGGGAGACAAATAATAGCTTTGTCACAGTTGCTTTTATGAAGAAAAATGTAATGCGGCCAAAAAGCAAATTCAGAAAACTAGATATAAAATGTTTTTGTAATTTGTGATAACATATATTTTATCTGTAAAAGATATTTTTAACTAAGTGAACATTTTAAACTAAGAAAGCCAACCTCTGCATTAAAAACATCACCCGCGTTTGGTGATGTGAAATAAGAAGCAAATAGTTAAAAAGAATAAGAGAAGCCCGGTTCTGATTATGGAGAGCCAGACTAAGATTGTAATCTGTGCCGCTTGGTCTTCAACATCATCTTTGATGAGCAGCTTGCTTCCATTACCGAACAGTATCTCCCCACACGAGGCCACAGCACAGTAGTAGGTTCCAGCATCAGAGGAGGTCAGGTTCATCTTCTGCAAATGGTAGACACAGTTCAGTGAAGGAGGCCCTGATGTGGAGACTTGTTTACACCCCTCCCCGAGCGCGTGAAGGACTGCTTGGCGAGATCCATGTCGAAACCAGTAAACACTGTGTTCTCCATCGCAGGTCCCGAAGCGTGCTGTACAGTTGAAAGTCACAGAGCCTCCTTTCAGGATTGTCTCAGATGTTGGCCCCTGGACTATTTCCTTGATGTTGACTCCTACAATCCACAGGGAAAAACTTTTAGCATAATAAGCAAAGGAAAAACAGCGATTTTGCTAATACTTCATGTGATTAAAAAAACAATGTAAATCCCATATTTTGGAATGCAAATCTCTGCAGTTTACAGTCAAATGTAAATGAAGTAAATAAAAAATAAAAGTACAATACCTTTGACACTTAGAAAGACTCCCTTTCCAAAGTCCACTATGTTGGAGTGTGAGCTTCCACAGTAGTACGTAGCTGAATCTGATAAGTGAACGTCAGAGATGTGGAGATGATTCATCCCTTCCTTCCTTTGCACAGAGAAACGAGGGTTCTTCTTCGTCCAGCGGGAGACTGTGGATGGTTTATCATATTTGTAAATACTAGACAGAAGTTCAGGTCCACTTCCTAAGGTTTGTCGGTACCAGGAGAAGTGCATCGCCACTTGGCTGTCATAGAAGCAATGTAACGTCACATTGTCCCCAACACGAGCAGATATAACCCCAGTGTCCTGCTTGAGTGCCGACGACTGAATCACCGCTGACAGATGAACTAGATCAAAAGGTGTTGAAAACATGTTATAGACATGAGGTGACATTCAAATGAATGAATTAATTCAAATTATAAACTGAAAATATCTTCTATCAAGTACTTACATACTCCTAAGAGGATCGTATACAGGTGCATCTTCTCAGAGGTTTTGAGAACTGAGCACAGCGAAAGAGCAGACAACAGCTTAAAAATGAGGTGACATTTGATTGGTTGCCAAGAGGGTCAAACTGTATGATATAAACATCCGTCTTGGCCTCAATGGAAAGTGAATGAAGATAAGAAAAATGAAGAGCATATAAATGTAGGTTATTCTACTTTGTCAAACCTCCAAGTAAGACAACTAAACTATACAGAAATATAGCAGCAAAATTTGTATCTTTATCTTTCTGTCATGAACATTTAACTTAGTACTTAACGTTTGTCCTGTAACTAACTTTCTGTTTCCTTTGCTTGTGTAGTAAGTTAGAAATGCTACATGTTTAGCTTTATGTAAACAGACACCCCGCCCATTTTTTGTTGATAATTGATCTATTCCACCACTCTAATACAGCCTTTACGTAAAGATAATACACATGTGACATATAGTTTAAAAACTGTATTGAATTTTAATAAATTTGTTGCAGCTCTGATTCTAGTTTTATTTAAAAGGTGAAAAAAATCGAATACAATGTTTATTAGGTAAAAAACTACAATTAATTGCTGTAGGTTTTTACAGCAAATACCTATAAAATATATCTTGTAATATACTGTAATTTATTTTACAGTATTTTGCAGCATTTGTACATGACATTGGCAACATATTGGCAACTATTTTGCCAGTTACTTACTGTAAATTCTACAGTCAATCTGTTACAGTGTGTGTAACCTTTGTTGCCTGTCCAGATTCCCCCTAATTCTGGTGCCGGTAACATTTGCAGTAAGAGGGCTTTATTGAGGCTATGAGGCTTCATAAAATGTTCAATATAGATCCATTACAATTACATTACAAAACGATCCTTGGTTAAAATAAATTTCTTATGAATATTTTGTTACTGGACCTTTCAACATTTCCCTTTTCTTCTGTCATTACATCGTTGTAATGTCGGAAGTTTATATTTAACGTAGCCTAAGTTTTAAGTAATGACATAAACGTATGTAAAAGTAATCTGCGCTTTCTCCAGCCTTGGTGCAGTGCTAAAACAAAGTGTGGAGATAGGTCTGAGCTATTTACTCCACAACCTCGGGGTGGAGTCTCCATTCCCCGGGCTTCAACCCCTGTCTCGACAGCAGGTCTGCTCCCTGATTCTGGGTCCAAGGGACGTACATCGTCTCTGCTGGGACCACAGGAGGATCTGATGTGCCAGTTTGCATAACGGGCGCGAGCGCAGACCCCCCTGGTGATTCAAATAGGCCACCACTGCCGTATTGTCGGTTCTGACAAGGACGTGGTGACCGTGGAGAGCGGGCAGAAAACTCCTCAGAGCTCTGAATACCGCTAACATTTCCAGGCAATTTATGTGCCAGGAGAAATGATGCTCCTGCCAGGAGCCTCTCGCAAAGCGGCCATCCATGACCGTGAATCAGGTCTGTCGAAATAATTGTTCGGCGACAGATCGCTCCCAACACGGGACCTTGGGACAGGAACCAAGATTTCCTCCATACAGACAGGGAACGAAGGCACCTGCTCGTAACCCCTTACGTTTTAGCGTGCTGAAACCTGCTGACAACAGCATCCACTGCCTCACCAAACAGGCCAGTAGGAAAGAGGTGCACATCCAGGAGAAAAGCCTTCTCCTTCCCCTGGATGCCCGAGAGGTTGAGCCACCAATGCTGCCATGGAGCGGCCAATGGAGCGGGCCGTCACCTTGGTAACACGGAGTGCTAAGTCCGTAGCTCTACGGAGCTCAGTCAGGTCCTCCTCAAAGGGACCTCCCCCTAGGTCACAGTGTTTGAGAAGATCAATTAATTAAATATAATTGACATATTTAATGTTCTTTGGGCCACAGGGGATTTTGTTTGCTTAAATACTATGAGTAACCACCAGGGAAACTTGGAAGCAAGGCTAGGCAGCGGCAAGCTATCCATGTCTTATTAGATATCCATGGTCACAGTGGCGCACAAGCCATTCTGCCTCCAGTAAGTTGACTGATTTTGTCATCGTTTCCCGAGGCCGTCTTCTGAAAACTGTTTTCGAGCACGGCGAGTAACTTTTTGAAGCGGTACTTTATTTTGAATTACAAGTTGTGTCTCTCGTTTCATGTATCACAGTAATGATTAATCTACAGGTTATTTAGTGCTTTAACACACCCTGAAGTTTGCCCTGTCAGAGTTTTTCAGTGTAAAAATAAATCGTGTTGATTTGTCAGGAGTTCCTGCTGCTACAGTGACCACAAGTGTTTCTTTTGTCCCGCTGCTAATGTGGTGACTTTCTCTGTGTTGCAGCATGTATTGAAAATTTTTATGTTATATTATACCAACAGATTATGCCAAGAGTGAGGGTCAGAAAGACAGACAGAGGTCTGATTCAGCCAGATGTTTTCATGCACATTTTGGAATTACGTATAAAAACAGCTGTTGAAGAAACGTTTTATAAAATGGATTGACATGGCCAATAAAAAACATTTTGAACAAGTATATGGTTGGGTTACTTTTGAAACATTTGAAGAAACTGTAAATAGATAATAAATAAAATGGAAATGTAATTACATACATACATACATACATTTTTTGCAAAGATAAAGGACAAAAAACATATGCAGTTACATATTTACAAAGTCAAAGTCACGTATATTTAATAAGAACAAGGGAAACACAAAACATCTAGTTGTGCACCCTCCTTACTTTCGACCCTCCTGTGTGTTACTTTCGACCCAACTGATGGGGTCGAAAGTAACAATGTGCCACTTATGTTTAAAGTGAAATTATACGGAAGTCGTTCTACATTTCTGCAAAATACCCTGATATTGATAGACCACACCTGTGAGTTAGTGACCACGGCAAAAATATATCACTATCTACAACATAATCTTTTCAAGTCAGGTTTTTCTGAAAAAATGGTACTTTCGCCTCTGCTCTCCCCTACACAGTATTTTGGGAGATCTGTAGTGCCTCCCTGAGGGGAACACTTGAAATGGTGAGCTTGATTAGAGAGGGAGATTATCATATCAGCTGATTACACAAGAAGATGGAGAATGCGTGTGCATGAACAATGGCTTCTCTTTGTCTGATAAAAGAAGCTATAGGTACTTAAAGTGCTGTCAGTGACACTGCCCCCCTGTCACTGCAAATCAGTGGCACCACAAGTTTTTTGGGCATCAGCGACAACCTTACACGGTCCTCCAACATCACTGCTGCTGTGTGTAATCATGCTCCTCTGGTTTCTATCAATTATGTCATTTTTTAAATTGTATTATCTAAAAAAAGTATTTACAATGTGATTTTTTTTACATTAAACAGAGACTTGCTTATTTGATAACTGTTTTGTCTGTATTATTGTGTTTTCCATGTTTTGCTTTAACTGCATACTTAAATATAGATAATGCCAACAAACTTGCATGTGGTTTATGCATTTCTGACTCTTCTTATCTTATCTCTCTGTCTTCACTGTCTCATCAGACTGTTACAGATAAGGTGAAGATACCTTCCATTATGAGTAAAACTGTAAGACAGTGCAGACAAATTGTTACTTATGCCATCTGAAATTCAAAAAAATAGTTACAGATACTTCGTGGTGAATGGTTTGAGCTTCATTGCATGAACTATTTCATACCCGCCCCTTTCCAATAAAAGCCCCTTTTCTTTGTCTATTACATATAAGTGCCTTTGTTGTGACACGGTTATGCACACAATGAAGAGCTTCACTTTAATAAGAGCCTTACTTCTCTGCAGCCTCAGTGAGTACCTGCAATGAATTCTTCTCCAGTAACCCACTTTTATATTTTACTTACAAATTAGTTAGTATTGAACTCATTTAGAGGTATTGTTGTTTAATACTCGACTGAGGAATAACTCTTGTTGTCACTGCTGTTTGTTTCAGGCTGGATCTCAGTTTCTGAGTCTCAGACTGTGGAGGTCCAGCGTGGTGAAGAAGTCACTCTGCTGTGCTCCAACATTTCCAGAAGTCCAACTCAGACAGAGTGGTTCAGACTGATCAACAGAACCAAGCCCAGCTGTATCTCCTCCATGTACGGGGCCAATGGTGATGCTTCATTCTGTGATGGATTTCAAAATGGAAGTTTTGAAATGAGCTCCAACAATTATACTGTCTTTCTTAAAATCAAACACGTGGATTTATCTGACTCTGGACTGTATTTCTGTGGATTTTACATGGACAAACATACAGTCATTGCCAGTGCAACTCTTATAAACGTTAAAGGTAAGATTGTGTTCAAGCCTCTTTCAGACATATAATTTCCTCATAATATCTCTAGTATAGCTCACATATAATGTCACAGTAGTAAGACAAACACAAAACCAGTATGTGTCAAATGATTTAACCCCCCCCCCCCCTTTTTAAGGTGAAATTATTGGTGAATCTGATGATGAAGTGGCTTTTAAGACTGAAAGTAAGGTTCTCCTTTTCTCTAAATATTTGTTTCATTGAGTGAGTTAACATAGAGTCAGTAATTTAATGCAACCATGAAACCATGTTTAAATCTACCAGATTAAAAAAAGATTTTAGTTATATAATTGTTCTTGTAGAGGAGCTGGATGGAATTACAAACCTAACGAGTGTGATCCTGGCTGGTCTGGCTGTTTTCCTCACTATAGTCGTCATTGTTCTGGCTGTTAAAATCAGGAAACTTCAGACAGGTACAGTAGATTTATAATTTGTTGTAAATGGTGTCAACATGATGCTCAAATCCAAAGCAAAGCATTTGGTCACTAATAATGAACTAATCAGACATTTGTCTTCTGCCATTTAGTTGTGAATGAAGAACCGCAGCCAGAAAGAAACAAGGTGAACAATACATTTATATAAACTGTGGTTTAAAGTTGCATTTAAATTCAAAGATCTGGCAGGCAGTATAATAGTTATCTTTAACGTCAAGGATAGAACAGTTGACGTTCATTAACTGAAAACATAAGAAACAAAATGTGTGATTTTAATAGCTTACTCAGAATGCAAGAGTTGTAGAATATATTTTTTTTTACGTCTTCCCAATAGTGATTTTGTTTTTCTTCCCTCTGAAACACATAGAAATGCTCCATCACCTCAACCAGAGGATAAATTGTCAAGAAAGAGAAAATTGAGCCTTTCTGCTACGTAATTGCATATAGTTGTTTGTAGTGTAGACTGGTGTAGACTTGTAGTGTAGACTGGTGTTTTAAAATTCAAATAAAACCACTGCACGGTTGAACTATTTTATTATGTTAATGAGTTACATGCTATTGTTTGAACAACCTTGGTTTCAAATAAAAGTTTTTCTTAGGGTTTAATGTAAGTTATGAAAGCAGGGATTGTATTAAAAATAATGTTTTACCATTTAAATTAGACTAAGCTATACTGTGTTTAACACTGATCTTAGTTTAAATTATCACTTTTTGGTAGGACCCACAAATTCGAATGATTTTTGGAACCTCAGCAGCAGTGTGTGTGATACAGTATGTGATTCTGATTTACAGAATCTGGGCTCAGATGACCTGAACTACGCAGCTCTAAGTTTTCAGCCAAAAGCAAAAAGATACCGCAGGCCTGCATCTGAGAGAGAACTGGAGCCAAATGTTGTGTATGCTGCCACCAGATAAACTCAGAAAGCAACTGGAACTGCAGCTCAGAGTGGAACTGATGCTTTTTCAAAATAAACTGCTGTTGTGTTTTTGTGGTTGGGTAGTGAGTGGAAAGAGTCACTGCCAAAAAATAAATGATTAATGTTTCTATTTTTTCTAGCTAATGTTTTTTTGGTCTCTCTCTGTCAAAGCGTCATTACTTTGTCAGCAGCATGTTTAATGTGTGATGGGTGACGAGTCAGAAAGGACACTGATGGCTAATGATGGCACTGATAATTTTGAGATAAAAATACATATTCTCATTTTTCACCTGCTCAGTCTTTAAGTAAATGTGTGTGCAAACACACCTTTTGTATTTGGCTCCCTTCTTGACATCATAGAAGATCTATGTAGCATCGAACCTCCTCCAGCATTTCAGCGTCATAGACGGCCCCGCCCACTGAACACGTAATGAATACACCACTCTCAGCCCCACCGTCAAACATCAAGCAATCATTCCATCACTATACTTAGGGGTGCCCCCAAGAATTTTGGGCTCCATGACAAAAAAATCTAATTGGGCCCACTCTGTGCAGCTGTTGCCACCACATCTCTAGGACCATAGTCCATAGACTATACATAAGAATTTTGTGGACTGCCATTTTGAAGCCTCGAGTTTGGCCGTTAGGGTGCCGCCATGTTGATTTTTTGCAACCAGTGGCACAGGACGTGACCATATTTGGACGAGATGGTGGAGCTAATAACCGTGTGCAGAGCTAGCTAGCTTGCTTAGCTAGGTGCATCTGTAAATCACGTTAACTGTCATTTAAACAGGGCTGATAACTCTGTCTAGCAAACAACAGTCTTAAAACTAAATGTACTCACCAGAGAAAGTGAACAGCCAACTCCTAATGATTTTTTCAACGGTGCTGATTAAATGTACACAGTGCCGTGGATACGAGCCTGAATTACGCCTGAATTACCTAACTTTCCCATCAAAAGCTTTACATAACTCTAATTTGTAGTGGACAACAGTGTGGATTTGTGCATTTTATATTAAATAAATTTGGAGCTACTCCAAATTCCTCTTTTCCTCTCCCAGAGAGGAGCAGGGGGGTTAAAGATCAACTTTCAAAAGACAGCTGAAGAGACCCCAACAGGATGGGGTGGAGGTTCCTATTCCTGAGCAGCCTGATCGTAAAACTGGCCACCTTTGACAACAGCCGAGATAAGTCTCGGCTGCCTAAATTGTTAAAATGACAAAGAAACTAACCAGAGATTACAAACAGCCTATCGGAACTCTCCTTGGAGGGGGAACGAAACCCTAAAATGCCCCCCCCCCCACACACACACACACACGTAACCGTGACAACTGACCTCGCTCTGTTTTTCATTACCCCATCAAAGGGATACCCCCTTCACGCCTAAGTGTGACATAATCCAGGACAGCCTGAACTTTATGTTAACAAAGACTCCAGTCTCCAAGGACTCAAAGCATTAATTGTTTAATTAAATCTTTTAGTTCCTTGATTATGTTTGCTCCATTTGAGTAGTTATGCTACCATGTTGTTGATATTATTGCTGAAAAGAATCTAAATAAGTTACTTTTGCAGTGTTTTTATTTTCAGCAATATTAAGGACACTCCTTCATCTTATGTGTAACCAATGCTTGTTCAATACTTTCTCACACAATTCCTTTAGAAATGATGATAAAGAAATGTCATACTATACTCTATTAATTGCCGGCTTGAATTTAAGGCAAAATAACTAAATTCCCCAACCCGGCCAACCCTTGAGGTTTTTCTTCAGACACGAAGAACCCCGGAGAATCCCTAGCAAAAAGCCAGGATCGGGCAGCTAGCGTGGGACCCGTGCAACAGGCCAAAGAGGGCCGCCGACAAGCAGTAAGACCAACACCCTACATTCAATGGTCAGTGTCGTCCAATAGTTGCTAATCCATTTTTCTTTAGTCCAGCATATGGAATCTTTATACCCCTAGACATAAATTTAACTGAGTTATCATCTAATTGCATTCGTTAGTTGCCGTATGAGTCAAATGCTTCCCACAATCGAACCTCAAACTGGATTATTTTAATAAAATAAAATAAAAACAGCTTCCAGTACAAAGAGCAGGTTGTTTTTTTATTTCTTAATGATCATTTTTTTAGAAAACAATTTGAATTTCTGTCATCACTATATATTTCATTTTCTTTTTTGTTATGGTAAAAGAGCAAGTGAGACAATGTTGCTCACCTTCTTCACTGGGACAGGGAGGGCTACAGTTATGGGGATACTGGGGTGCTGTTGTTACATCTGCTAAAAGGTGCAGGGACAATTATTTAATGTGAAAATCTTGCTAAATGTTTCCCTGCACTGATCAAATGTTGATGAAATGTAGGCTAACTAGTCTGTACACTGAAAATAATAACTTGTAGGATTTACTTAATAAAATCCTCGTAACAATTTGCATGAGCACTTTTTAAGTAAATTCTACTGCTCTAATATTAAGTACAAAGCACTTGTCCTTATCAAGTAAAACTTACTTACCACTAAACTAAAAATTTGTAAGATACTAAGTAAACGTTACTTAGCTAGTGGGGTGGTGATGGCGCATCGATAAGATGCTTGCGTTTGGTGTGGGAGACCTGGGTTCGATTTCCACTATGAGACATCAACCATTGTGTCCCTGAGCAAGACACTTAACCCCTAGTTGCTCCAGAGGTGTGCAACCTCTGACATGTTTAGCAATTGTAAGTTGCTTTGGATAAAAGCAACTTACAAGAAGAAATGTAAATATACTTAATATGTTACTTATATTTATTTAAACAAATTAAGTAAATACATTTTTTTCATATGCAGGAACCATCAGTCACCAAAATTTTAAGTACTATATTCTGGAATGAATTAAACAAGTAGAAACTTATTATATTTTTTCCTGCTTGACAATTTAAATTACTTATTTGCATGAAGTTATATTACTCACTATAATTATGTAAATATTACTCATTTCACTTTAATAAATGTTACATTACATGTACTTTTATCACAAATCACACAACTAAAATACACAATTCAATTAAAGTGTTTATTTTGTGAACAGTTAACACAAATTAACATTCACATATCCTGGACACCTTGAAACAAGTATAAGTAAGCAAAACCCTTGCTTGTTTTGAATGACAATCATGTACAATTGTTGTACTTGTTCTACTCAACTCAGAAAACACATGTTGGGAGAGGGGAAGTAAAGATCAGCAGCCATAAATGAAACAGTGGTATGACTGGTACACCACATGATATACAATTGTTATTTTGTTAGATTCTGTTTTAGTGTGTTTTAAACTCTGTAGATATTAATATTGGAATGAACAAGCTAGCATTTATTATGATCAAATCTGCAAATTTTAGCTTTAACTAACTTTATAGCATTTCAAGTTTATTTATGTTCATGTGCTAAATCAGGAACAGTACTTCAATATATATTATTAAAACAAACTATTAAGAAGATAGCATCAATTAATGGTTTATAGATTCACTTACCTCAGCTTCACAAAACAAAGCAGGCCATCAGTAATGGACCAGAAATCTATAAGATGGCACCGCTGCCTCATTCTACGGAAGCATAATATATTGAGTTTTGACAGTTTTGTAAATTTTTCATTTCTAAAACTAATTTTTAAGTGTGTGAATAACCTTACACCAGAAATATTCTGTCAACTAGTAGAGAAACAAAAGAGCGGAATAAGAAATAGAGGCACAGTAAGTGGAAACTGTATAGCCGCAAAACGTAAAAACAACATTTGGTCAGACATCATTTTCAGTAAGAGGCATACATCTGTGGTACGCTTTACCATCCAAAATTAAAACATTGACAGAACTCAAGGTTTTTAATATACATTTAAAGCAATGGTTGAAACTGAAAAAACTCTGTGAACACTGATGGTACAGGATACAATGCAATGCATACAAACATGATGTTGCATATTATGGTAGCATACACAGACATATGCACATGTTTGTGTTCTTGTATTGTTTGTTGTGTCTAGACTCTGTTTATAGTGATTTCTACATCTACTTCAGTCCATATCTTATTTCATGTATGGGATGTATTTATTGTATGTATTTTAATGGTTGTAAATTTTAAACTCAATACTCTGTAATCTCTGTTTTAATTTTATAAGCCTAACCAGGGACAGGGGTTGCAAATTAGTCATGGCTAGAAACCTGTATGCATGGCATCTACTTTGTATTCTTTGTAAAGCAATGTTCTATGCATTTATCCCTGTCAAATATACATTAAATAAATAAATAAATCTCTCTTTAAAGTCATCAGCAGCTGGTCTACCGCTCACAACCTCAAGCATTTGATAGGAGAAAGTTTTGGCCATTTTTTCTTGAATCACCTTATTATTGTTCATCTTCTTTACTTCTCTTACTCTAGTCTCTCCATCATCCAGTCATTAGTTTCTCCACTTGGATGTGGAGGAAGGTAGTTCACCTCTTCTCTTTTCGGTCTCTTGCAGTTTTTTGCAGGATTTTTCTCACCAGGGGATTTCCTTTTCAAGGAGTTGATATCTAGCTCAGGAAAAGGTACTTCACGCCTTCTCATTTTAGAACGGTAGTTAGCCATGTTGTATTTAAGACGCTGCTGCCACCAATACATGCCTGAATATGAGGTTCCAGGCTCCCTTATGCATTGATGCTTTTTTAGCAGAGCTTCTACGACTGCCAGTATTTAAAGACCAGTGGGGTAGGCAGTGTAGTGGAATATGGCTTCAGCAAGTTTCTCAAGTCAGACTTTATGCTTGGATTCTGAGCCATCACTTTCATAAGCCTTATTTCCTGCCTGAAGGGGCATTTCGACACTATATGAAAAGCCGGGTATCACAAAATTTGTAGGCCAAGGTTCTGATGATACTCTGGCACTTGTGGTTAACTGATGGTGTCGGATGAACTAACTGAGGAACTGTCATCCTGGAAAGACCCATCTAGTGGCACAGGGGGGGAAGAAGCATCAGCATCGTTGATGGGAGTCAATGTGAGAGTAATAGGCTCTGCTCTAGCTAGTTTGATTGTGTCTTTGTCCTTAACCATATCTGTTGATCTTAGAGTGAAAAACTGGTTATCAAAATTTTTGTCCATGTACATAATAGTAAAACTCTCTAGGTGATAAAAATGATCCTGTGCAGCTGCCAAAAGTTTGTCTATAGTGCTTGGGATTCCATCTGGTAGAGGTAACTTGTAAACTTGAGTCTTTTCAATAATAATACGTAGTTGAGTGGAGGCAGACATCCTTACAGCCTTGGGTAAGCAGAACTGCAAGAGAAAACAAACACAGAAATGATTTGGTAAGATAAGAGAAAATAATACATTTCCACACAAGATCCAATGATTAAGCATGCTCTAGACCAGACATGTCAAACTCAAGGGCCACAATTGTCTCTGGCCCACGAGGTAATATATCTTAACAGAACTGGCTTGCCGGTTTATAGCACAGCACTGCAATAGCTGGCACATTGGAGTTTGCATGTTCCCCCTGTGTTAGTGTGGGTTTCCTCCAGTTCCCCCACCATCAAAAACATGCTAGGTTCTCCAGTCAGTGCCACTGACCAATGCCAATGGCACAGATCTAGAGTTGGTCCCTGGGTAGAACACAGTGGCTGGCCACTTCTCCCTTCAGGGATGGGCTAAATGCAGGGAATGAATTTCGCTACACATAAGTGTATGTGACTTTACCTCAATCAAGGGAACACATCAAGAGGGCGGATGTGGCCGTAATTAAACAATATATTATAAAACGTCACTATGAAACAAAATACCAGAACTTGGACCTGATTTTTAATTTTGGCCTCCTCTGTGATTGAGTTTGACACCCCTGCTCTAGATAGAAAGGAATACATAAAATATAATCTTAAACAAGTTTGAAGTTGGAATAAATACACAAATAAGCCCTGACAAGGTGTATAGCATTAAGGCACAAGCCAGTTTCAACCAAATTAAAGTGATATTTTACCTAGTTTAACAAGCAGATGTGGTGTTTCAGAGAAACCATTCGATCCCCTTCCATTGCATAGGTAGCCAGTGGGTTA